TCTGAAGGTCCCCTCCCGGACTTCGGCGCCCCCTTTCTCGGAGCGGCTGCCTGCGCGCTGCTCGTTCGACGCCGCGTCGCCGCCTGCGTCGTCGCGCTGCAACGGGCCGAGAGCAAGCCGTTCGTCAGACGCGCGATGACGTGCGACGCAGCTCAACTCCGTTGTTCTGGCGACGCAGAAGATGAAGGCGCGCGTCACTTTCCCAGCGACGGAGTGCGCGGGCCAGATCTGCGCGCGCAGCGACGGCTCGTTCAAGCGCCGAGAGACAGGGCGCGGCACGCGCGGCGCCGTATACATGCGTCAGGGCAAGTGCCGCAGCAATGGTTAACATATCTGCCACTTGTTCGACGCTGCGCGCCGATCGCACAAGCTTGCGCGTCGATCATCATTCGGCCCAGAGCTGTTCGCAGTTACGTGCAAGCAGACGGCCTACAAGCGAACCTCCTAACGCTCCGCGAGATGGCGAGCGGACCCGCCTCAGCAGATGATATGGGGGGGGGGGCTGAGGGAGAGGGGTTTCACGCTGTGCTGGCAGAGCTGGCCGTGGACGGGATGTCCGTCGTCTCCGCGCTGGCCATGGGCCACGTGCGGCCGCGGTCGGATAATAGTGTAGCAGGCCACCTGCGGTGGCTAGCGGACCAGCTGCGCGCCCGGCGGATCTCTGACATGCTGTGGTGCGATACTCGCGACATGAGGGCGGAGTGGCAGTATCGACCGGATGCTCGTCCTCGATGTCGCGGAGGGGGAGCTCGCCTACGAATGCCCCGCATGGACGTTCAGCGAGGAGCGGCGCAAGAAGACGGTACCGAGCTCCCGACGCAGCAACCTCAACAAGGACAGACGACGCCACTGGGCATCCCACTCGGCGTCGCATGTCCGAACTGCGTTCGCGAATGCAGCGACCGACATGCGCATCGTCAGCTGTGTTCGCGAATACGACACCGTCCATTAGGAAAAGAGATATGCACGTGCTCGCATTTCGAAAATTGCGCCCGCGAGTGCGACGCGGCAAGCGAGAGCGATACGAAGAACAAAGCATGCCAGTTGGAGGGCTGTCGCCACTAACTGTGGTGATGGGGCGGCAATGTTCTAGCAATTGAGCATTCAACTCGGCCGCTGCGCGCTCCCGCTGAATAGTCTGCCGCTTCGCAGATTGTGAGGGAACCCGATTCATAGAGGTTCTCGCATCAATTTTTGTATATGCGGGGCCAGCAGAGCCCCGTGCACTACAACTGTTAGCGCGTATGCCTTTCTTATAAAAGAAGACCTTGTCACTGGATGGCATTTTCAGCTTAGCCTGAAATTGCCCTCCTCGTCTGGGTGTAGGTTGCACACCCGAACCGGCGAGGCACACACATACCCGCTTGAGCACCAGACTCGAGCATTTGTTCTTCGCATTCTCATTGCCGTAATTGTCTTTCCGCCGCAGTTTTCTCTCTCGGTTAATCGACCGTGCCCATGTCATACGCATGTTCCTCCTCGTCGTCATCCACGGAATGACTGGTGAGCTCGCATGTTTGTATCGTGGGAGCAAGGCGCTGGCCGCAGAGCCCCCGAGTCGCGCAGGTAGGGCGCCCGCCTGAGGTCCACCTGTCCTTCCGCAGGGGATAAGGAGGGCACAGTGGGGCTGCCCCCCCCCACCCCCCAGCTGGGGCGCGGGTGCTGGCGGAGGCGCCGTAGTGCCCCCGCACTGCGACGAACTGGAGGTTCAGGAGGCCGCCCCACTCTTGGGAAGAGGAGGAGGATCAGGAGGAGGAGGATCAGGAGGAGGAGGATAAGGAGGAAGAGGAGGAGGAGGAGGAGGAGGAGGAGGAGGAGGAGGAAAAGGAGGAGGAGGAGGAGGAGGAGGAGGGGGAGAGGAGGAGGAGAGGAGGAGGAGGGGGAGTAGGAGGAGGAGGAGGAGGAGGAGGAGGAGGAGGAGGAGGAGGAGGAGGAAGAGGAAGAGGAGGAGGAAGAGGAGGACGAGGAGGAGGAGGAGGCAGGAGGAGGCGGGGGGGGAATGAGCCGTCGTCGTCGGGAGCCGTGGAGGAGGATGTTTCCATCGACCAGGCATGGGAGGAGCCCCTCCCCTAAGCCCGCCCCGCTTTATGTGCTGTGCTGTGGAGACGCCCTCGTGCCAGGGATCTTCGAGTTTGTTTTGCATCATATGCGGGGGCCTGCGATTCTGACGGCAAGGCTGCGACAAGGTCTTTGATGCGAGAGCGGTAGAAAGGTCAGCATGCGAGTGTTGGCATCAAGAGGCAGTTGAGCAGAATTCGTTGGGGGCAGCACCCCCACTACAGGGCCCCGACCAACAGCCTGGTCCTCGTCCTTCCTGGTTCGTTGTGTTTGCGTGTGAGGGCTGAGCTCCACAAGTTGGTCGAGACTCAGTCTTCGGGCCCCGCGGGCCCGCCTGACCCTGGAGCAACCGTTTGGGTCCCAGGTTCTGTTGCCGCTCAGGCGTTGGTGCTGGCCTCTTTTGACGTCGGCACAGAGGATGTCCCCTGCATTCGAGCCTTGGGCGAGCGCACTTTTCAGCAGGGCTCGGACAACGAGTCGCGGCCCTCCGATGATGAGGTCTTCTAGTGCTTCTAACCTAGCCACCACCACTCCTCATCCCCCTCCTCCTCCCCCTTCCCCTGTTCCTCCTCCTCCCCCTCTTCCCCTTGTCCTCTTCATCCTCCTTCTCCTCCTCGAGGCCTCGCGCTGCGCGCAGTAATTGTAGTATTTGGTCCACGCGTCCGCCCCGTCGGATATGATTCGGCGTTCGCGCGGCGATGTTCCGGCGTAGGTCCGAAGTACATCCGACGTGAATCCGACATTCATTCCGACGTCATTTGTGTGTCAAGTTGTCGCGCGAGGTTTTCAGGATATCTTCAATGCGGCCCCCCTGGGCTGTCAACAAAACATGTTTTTGCGTCCTGCAACAATTCGGGCTAATTATTGGGCCCGCTCCCCCCCCCCAGATAACTGACCTTGTCGGTTTCGCAGGTCCGAATGGGGACTACGCAGTACTGGTGCGCGCGGGCAGACGTGGAGCTGCCCAGTGTGAACGGGTTTGATTTTTGACCGTCACCTCCTCCATCCCCACCGCTGGATATCCGGGGCTACCGCCGAAAGTGATACCCGATGCCCAGGATGTTTCATAACGTGGGCCCCACAGGCTGTCAACAAAACCGGCAGTGGCCCACGCTCAGCCGTTCGCCGCCGCGCAGCGAAGATCCGACTGCCTCGGCGGCCCGCCGACGGCCCCTGTCGGTCAGGGGTTTTCCCAAACAGTGTATGTCGTGCTCGCCCTCGTTTTGTATTCGTCCCGCGTTTCTTGCTCAGCGAAATTGAAACGAAAACGGCCCACGAAATCGCCGAAGCACCGCCCCTCCCACGTGGGTGCCCCCGCCGAGTCGCCCGCACGCGCCCTCCATGATGCACAGGGCGCTTTCTGCCCGCCTGCCTGCCCCGCACTCAAGCCGCCCGCCTCACCAGACATCCTGTGGTGCTGGCTCCCCGTTTTGAGGAGACAGCGCCTCGCGTCCCCTCCTCTCCTCCTCTCCTCTCCTCCTCCCCCTTCTCTCCTCCCAGTCCTGCCTCTGCTCTCCGCGTGCCGCCATCACCGTTAACATCGTCATCATCATCATCATCATCATCATCATCATCATCGTCATCGTCATCGTCATCGTCATCATCAGCAGCAGTAGCAGCAGCATCAGCATCAGCATCAGCACCATCATCATCGTCAGCATCCTCACCAGTACCATCACCCATCACCCATCACCCATCACCCATCACCCACAAACCATCACCAATCACCATCACCATCACCATGACCCAGGCCAGCATTGTGAAATACCCTTTACCTCCCGCTCCTCTCTCCTCTGATCCCTGCCTCTGCCGTTCGCATGTCTCTGCTTTAGCACCCTCCTCCCACGCGTCGTGGCCCCACAGGGAGCTCCACCGAAGGTCTCATTATCATTGCCATCGTCAGCATCGTGCCTCTGCTATCCGCATGTGCACCATTTCGGCACACCCATCATACGGTTCATGGCCCCATAGGGAGTTCCACCGAAGGCCCCAGAGGCAGGTTTCGCGTGCCCCCGACGCCCATGTTGGCACACCACTCACACGCTTCGTGGCCCCATAGGGAGCTCCACCGAAGGCCCCAGTGGCAGGGGCCGCATGCGCCCGACGCCCATTTTGACCAACACCTCACACGCTTCGTGGCCCCATAGGCCCATAGGGAGCTCCGCCGAAGGCCCACATGGCAGCGCCCGCTGGGCGCCGCCGTCCCAATGTGACACACCTCATCATTCGTTGCGTCTCCCCGCAAGCTGCCACCGAAGACCCAAGTGGCAGCGCCCGCCAGGTGGCGCCCCGCCCGTTTCGGGCATCCCTCACACATTTCGTGGTCTCGTAGGAAGCCCCCCTTTGCTTCCAACCTGCCATGCGGCAGTCATGCCTGCAGATGGTTGGGTCCCGCGCCAGGATGATTTGAATCCGCGACCCCAGAGCTCCCGACCCTTTCCTCGGCGTTAGACTTTTGTCCCCGATGCATTTTTCGTGGTTCGGGGGTCCGACGACGCCCCCCGAAGCCCAAGCCCGATGAAGAACGGAAGGACCGAACTCATTATGGACCCGCTCTTCGCCCAGGCTCGCCGCTCGCCGCCGCGCAGCGAGGTCCCACTGCCTGGCGGCCCGCCGAGGGCCCCCCGCGGCGCCCGCGCACGGCACGCGCCTCGGGTGCCGAGGCGGGCGCCAGCGATGCCGCCCTGCGGGCATGGGCGCGCAGTGCTGCCAGCCCTCCCAGGCCGCGCCCTGCGCCCCGTCTGAGCGGGGCTGGGACAAGAATGAGAGTGTTTTTGTTCGCCCTCCGGGCCATGACGCGCGTTAGTTGTGCTCCCCCCTCTCCCCCCACCTCCAGGGCGTCCCTGGCACTGCCGCAGTACGTCCGGCGTTGCAGTCCGTCGCGATGGTGGGCGGGAGCATTACGTTCCGCCTCCCCCCCGTTCCCTGTCCTCCTCCAGACCATGATTCTCCACCAGATCGCTCAGGATCGCGATGTGGTGGTCCCAGCGATGATTGTGCAGCGCATCCGCCACGTCGAACCACCCATCACGGTCGTCGGGACAACCCGATTCTGAGCCCGATCGGCGTCAAAACCCAATCGGCCGCCGAAGGGACATGGGCACTGAGGGCGACGGCCGCCGCCGCGCGTGCGCTCGCGTCGAGGGGGGCCCTGGGCGGGGCCGAGCGGGGCTGGCCTCGGGGGCCAAGGGAACGCGCTCTTCCCTCGAGGCGGGGTCACTCAGTGAAAAGAACGGGCAGAGTCGCGTCGGATTCGCACGTCGGCCATGCAGCGGCGGCGCGCCCGGGGCGGGAAGTGAAACGAGGCAGGTCTTTTCAGAAGGCGGCGGGGCTTCTCAGAAGCCCTCGCGCCTTTGAGAAGCTTTCTAGCCTCTAGCCCTTATCCAGAGACAGAGTCGCAAACTGCCAGCAGGGAGTGAGGGATGGGGGGAGCAAGGGGCCACGGAGGAGAAGGAGGATGCGGGAGGGAGAGGGAGGTTGCGACAACTGTTGCACGCAACTGGTTTCGGCCTCGCTGCGAGGCACGTTCTTTGATGTTCTCCGCCTCGTAGCCATGGTCGCGCGAGGTTCCTCGATACGTTTAGAAAGCTGGCTACACAGTTTCGCGAGCTCCCGCTTTGCTAGTCAACTCCCCTTTCGTTCCGCATGTGAGGAGGAGGAGGAGGAGGAGGCCGCGCGAAATCTGCAGGACAGCATCATCGTACCCTTCAAGGGCACGGGCGGCAACGTCGTTGTCCTCATTGTGGCGCTCGACTACGACTACGTTCTCTTTTTGAATCATGCCACAAACTCTCCCTCGCTCTATCGTTCTCTCTGTCTGTCTCTCTGTTTCTCCCTCTTTCTCTGTCTGTCCACCTGTCTGTCAGGTCGCTCGAATATGTTGACATGTCGGTCTCTCCCTTCCATGCATGTGTGACAAGCGCAGAACCAGGTGAGAGTACGCGTGTCAGATGATCCCAAACCATACTCCATTTTGCCACTCTGTTTTTTGTATCAATATGTTTTTGTGCAGTTTTGCCTTTCCAGTTCTTTGTCTCGGACAGCGCCAAGAGCTCACAGTAGTTTTGCGCTCTCCGAGCTGGCGCGGCTAATGCATGCCAACAGATGGCGTATTTCGTCTTGCAGGCATCAGTGGATTGGTTGTTCAGTTTTACTTTCGATGCGAGATTGTTGTAATCATCTGGTTACCGTCGGCCTATCCCGCCCCCGTGCCTGGGTCGATGGCCGGACGCCTCCAAGCGGCCTTTTGGGGTCGCTTGGGAGGCATCCCCGCACCTCTTGGAGGCTTCTTTGGGGCGCTTCAGGGGGTTCTGGAGGCCTCTTCCTCCTCTGAGGGTTTAGGGGGGAGGCAGGTCAGGTCAGTTGCCTTGCACAAGAAGGTTAGTAAGCAAGAAAGGAAAGAGCGCGTTCTGTGGTCGCTTGGAGGGAGGGGGGGGGATTTGACACCGGACCCCCCCCCCTTGGATGGAAGGGGGGGGGAGGGTTCGAACCGCCCCCCCCGCCCCCTCCCGTGACGGAAGGGGGGGAATCGAACACCCCCCCGTTCCTTCCTCCCCTGCTTCCCCTCTCCTCGGGCCAGCGCTTGCGTCGGCGGCGGCTGGCGGCGGCGGCGGGGACGACGATTTCCTTTAGTGGGCCAGCGCCGGCGCCTGCGGCGGCGGGCGGCGGCGGCGGGGAGCGGCTACGAGGACGGTGGTGGTGGTGGTGGTGGTGGTGGTGGTGGTGGGTTGTGGTGGTGGTGGTGGTGGCGGTGGTGGTGGTTGTGGTGGTGGTGTGGCGGTTTGTTGTGGTGGTGGTGGTGGTGGTGGTGGTTGTGATGATGGGTGGTGCTGGTGGTGGTTTGGTGGTGGTGTGGTGATGCTTTGTGGTGGTGGTGGTGGGTTGTGGTGTGGTGCTAGTTTGTGGTGGTGGTGGTGGTGGGTTGTGGTGGTGCTGGTGCTTTGTGGAGGTGGTTTGTGGAGGTGGTGGTGGTGGTGGTGGTGGTGGTGGTGGTGGTGTGGTGGTGGTGGTGGTGGTGTGGTGGTTTGTGGTGGTGGCGGTGGGTTGTGCTGCTAGTAGTGGTGGTGGTTGTGGCGGTGGTGTTGGTGGTGGTGGTGTGGTAGATTGTGGTGGCGGTGGTAGTGGTGGGTTTTTGTGGCGGTGGTGGTGGTGATGGTGAGCTGTGGTGGTGGTGGTTGTGGTGTTGTGGTCTTGGTGTGGTGGTGATTTGTGGTGGTGGTGGGTTGTGGTGGTGTCGGTGGTTTGTGGACGTGGTGGTGGCGGTGGTGGTGGTGGCGGTGGTGGTGGTGGTGGTGTGGTGGTTTGTGGTGGTGGCGGTGGGGCTGTGGCGGTGGTGGTGGTGGTGGTGTGGTAGATTGTGGTGGTGGTGGTAGTGGTGGTGGGTTTTTGTGGTGGTGGTGGTGGTGTGTGGTGTGTGTGGTGGTGAGTTGTGGTGGTGGTTGTGGTGGTGGTGGTGGTGGTGGTGTGTTAGGTTGTTGTTGGCGGTGGTGGTGGGTTGAGGCGGTGGTGATGGTGGTAGTGGTGGCGGTGGTGGTAGTGGTGGTAATCGTTGCTGCATCCCCGCCGTCGCTGGCGCCAGCGCCGGCGCTGCTTGCCGCCGCCAGCGCTGGCGCCGGCGCCAGGGGGGGGGGGTTCAACCCCCCCTTCCTCCCTGGCGCCCAGGGAGGGGGGGTTTGAACCCCCCCCATTGGGCTGCCTCTGGTCATCGTTGCTGCGTCCCCGCCGTCGTCGCTGCTGGCGGCCGCCAGCGCTGGCGCCGGCGCCGGGGGGGGGGATTTCGAACCCCTCCACAAGGGGGGGGTTCGGGAGGGGGGAGTTGGGGGGGGAGGGGGGCCCCCCTGGTTTTGATCGACAAGATGGCATGCTGCACAACATGGACAGCAAGGCACCATGGGTTGACAATTGACTTCCATGTTGGTGCTGCTCTGGGTGGAAGTAGTCAGCAAGATGGGCAGGGGTGCCAGAAATGCCCAAACATCTTGTCATTAACTCTCTTCCCCGCATTAGCTGGGGACGTTTTTTCTTCCGGAGATCTGTCGGCTACTTGGTAGCGATCTTTCCTGTTTCAAGTGCTTTCCGACCTCCTCACTGGGTTTCTGCCCGCGCACCTGGAACATCATTTGTCTTTTGACGACGAGTTGGGTGAGCGTCCGTTCGCCAGTCATGCTTAGCACGGCACTGTTCGACAAACGACAATTTGAGGTGGAGGGGTGTCAGTTCGTGTTTCGCTTTTGGGGCCGTCTTGGTGGCATCTTGGGCCCGTCTTTGGGGCCTTGGGAACCGTCTTGGAACAGTTCCAGGGGCCTCGTGGGCAGCCGTGGGCGCTCGATAAGCTGAATCTACTAACTTCTTGCATCAAGCGCATGTTGTTCAATGGTTTTGGTGTCCTGGGCCGGTCCGGGGGGCTCCAACACGAACCAAGAGGTCGCCAATATCGCCCCAGGACGACTTGTTGTGGCCGTTTTAAAGCATGTTGCAGGTTGAAGCACGCGGCCACAGGCGCAAGGTTTCTTGACAAGTTTCGCGGAGATTCCCAGAGGCGCACGAGAGCCTGCGATGTCGTCTTGAATACGGGGGCGGGGCCCTGTACACAGTTGGGACGTTATACTTGGTATGTTCGGCACTGTGGCGGATGGATCCCCTGCGGTCTTGATGTTGTAAGCTATGTGGTTTGGCTTTTCGCGTGACACGAAGTTCCTCGCAGAAACAATGCGTGCAGCGCAGAGCATTGAAACATGAATTGCTGGTCAATTTCCTATCTTGTCAGCGCCCGCACAGGGTGCGGCATGTTGAAGCACGCATGGAGGGCAGTCGTGCACTTATGGCGATGAAAGATGTGTTGTGCGGGGTTGCGTGCCCAGGTTCCTGCGGCGCAGCTGACCTGCTCCAGAGACGCCAGGACCATGTATCGGATTGCCGAGCGCGCCGGGGTGAAAGACATCACGGTGCTCACAGACAAGCAGGGCGTGGACGGCACGAACTTCCCCGTCAGGCCCGCGATTATGGGAGGAGGGAGAGGAGGAGGAAGAGGAGGAGAAGGAGGAGGAGGAGGAGGAAAAGGAGGAGGAGGAGGAGGAGAAGTCCCTGATGCTCGTGACACCCGTGGTGCCCCTGACGCCCTTGACGCCCCTTGCGCCCCTGATGCTCCTGACGCCCCAGACGCCCCTGACGCCCCTGCCGCCACTGACGCTCCTGACGCCCCAGACGCCCCAGACGCCCCCGACGTTCCTGGGGCTCCAGGCGCCCTGGGGAGCCGCGGAGCGTCAGTGGCGTCAGGGGCGTCTGGGGCGTCAGGAGCGTCAGGAACGTCACGCCCCGAGTAACGTCAAAAGCGTCAGAGCGTCAGCATTTTGCGAACGATCGCTGCGCCAGCACTCCGGTGTTGCTTGGCTTTCGCTCGACGTGGCTCCACTGCCGGCCAGCGCAGGGCGTGCACCCACCGGTTGCTCGGAACAGGTAAGAAACCAACACGCAAGCCTAATTCAGGAATCGTGCAAGAAGCCCTCAGGCAAAGCTTGATTGGGGAATCTGTTTCGGCCCTTTGCTGCGGCATGCGACGACTACGCTTGGCCGACCACACAGAAATTCCCCAGGAATTTATCCAAGATCCAGACGGATCCCAATGGAGTCAATCCTGTTAGCGTACCTTGTCGCTGCTGCCGCCGTCTCATGCCCGTTGCACGTAAGCGTGCTCGGCTTGTGCATCGACGTCCTCTTGATCAACCGAGCGTTTGCGCGAATGCACAATGTGCGCGCGTGGTCTCGCTCTTCTCTTGGCGGGAATCTAGCCTACTCGGTAAAGAGCCATAGCCAGTCAGAGTGTCTGCCCAACCAGGCTGCCGGAGTTGGACTTCAGCAAGATTTCAGGAGGCCAGCATAATTAATGTGAAACATGTTGATCAGATGCCAGATCGCCCAAGACAGCGCTGCCCATGAACTGGAAACCATAATGATCAGCTCCATTCTGAATCTTACCGTGGGCAAGGATTTGGTTGTCGAAGCGTACTGGCCACGCAAGGATTACCTGACAAACAGACTATGAAGAGTGTCAAGGTCAGGAACATGTCATTGTCAAGCATGAGTATGCGCGGCCAGCCCGTGAACCATCGGATTGACTCTCCAGGCCAGCTTGGACCGACAAGTTGTGCAGATGCACACGTATTCCTCATCCGAGAGTGGGGGGGCGACCCGCAGCGCGACTCCGAGGCTGATTGCGAGCGCCATGCCTTTATATCGGCATCACCCAATCATGCTAATTTGCGCGTGCGTCTGCAGCGCAGGGGCGACGCGCGCTCTGAGAAATCTCATAATCTATGCTCGATGGCGGGCGCTTACTTGCCGTACCGCTCGGGAAACGATATATTACAAGGCGGTTGTGTTTTATGTTCGGGGCGGACGCCTCCAAGGAGGACACACCTTACTAGTATGTCTTTGAGCGCCCAGGCCCTGAAATCCCAGACGAAACTACGACGCTGAGCGGGGGCGCGGCTCCCGCCACTGTCGGGGCGGCAGCGCCACGCGGGGGAACGGCGCGCGCCGACGAGGTCGCGCGTGGCCATGTCCCAGTGGCTGAGGTTTGGTGCGCGGACCTCGCAGAGGACCGGCTTCCAGCCTCTGAGCAGTTGGGTCTTGGCTCCCCTTGCGACCGCGACGGCATGGGCAACGCGGCCCCCGAGCTGTCGGAAGACCCGCCAGACGATCTAGGCTTCCCAAATCGGATCCGAGTAGATGTGGTCGGCGGATGGCGCCCTATCGTCGATGCATCTGCGATACGACGCGATGTGTAGCCCCATTTTTTCCACGCCGACGTCGTCGATGCATCGGCGATACGGCACGACTCTCCGACCCCATCTTCGCCCATTTGGGGAGGCCTCCAGACAGCAGCCTTCCCGAGCTCAGGCCTCAGCCTGGGCGACGTCGATGGCTTCGGGGCCACCTCGGCGCCACTACGACGCCTCCGTCGACGACGAACGGGGCTCCCGACCACCGCTCCTGCCTCGCATGGAGCTTGCGTACTGCCGACCGCGGGCGCGGCTTCCAGCGGCATGTGCGGGACGCCGACTCGGAGCGTTGCTCCAGGTTGCACTTGCGTGGACATCGGGAGCGCGGCACCCGAACCCGGCGCGAGCGGCATCTTGGGCGGCATGGGGATTGGGCGGCATCGGGATTGGGCGGCATCCCAGGCGGCGCGGTCTGGGAGCCCCACCCCGCCGGCCCCCGTGCCATGCGAACGGCGGAGAGGCCTTCCTTTTCGACTCCGGGCAATGTGTGATACGCTCGGTCGAGGCGCGATCCCCAATCGCCAGCGACCTTGGTCGCCTCACCCACGAGTGGGCCGTTGGTGGCTGAGCAACGCTGAGAGTATTTATGCCTTCCGCAGGCCGAAAGCCGCTGCCCTGGATGAGCCTCAAACGAAACGATTGCGGCATACCAGCTTCGGAACAATCTCCTATTTGCTACACGTGTGAAAACATGTAATCGGACCGAACCGTTCAGAGCGAGGGCGGCCAAGGGGGGGGAGCCAAGGGGGCACTCTCCCTTTTTACTCGGCGACCCTGGGCGCGCTCTCTCTTAAAACGCCTAATCCCGAAGCCTGCCTAAGGCGTGGTTCCCGCGGCGGAGGCGTCTGTCGGCGCGGGGCCTCCGAGCCGACGGCGAGGACGATGGACGAGGTCGACGAGCGGTGTCAGAACACCCCCCCCGCTGGAGCCCTTTCCCCAGCCGGGCTTTCATGGCCAACCTATTGGGAGGCCGCTCAGAGACAACATCATTTCTTCGGGTTATGGCTGATGTCGCTTATCGTGACACCGCAGTATGTCGCCGTCTTGCTATCCGGAAGCTTTGGCGGCGTGCACAAAGGGGTGGCGCGTGAGAAGGAAGGCGGGGGGGGGTAGGAAGGAAGGGGCCTTTCTTGAAGGGCCAGGGGGCTTCTGAGAAGGCCCCTTGGAGTCTGGGAAAGCCTCCAAGAAGCTCCCTTCCTTCTGAGACGCCTTCCAGGCTTCTCAGAGAACCGCCCCCCTCGCGCCACCCCCTTGTGCGCACCGTCACGAACTACCAGCAACCCCGATCTTTGAACTCGGATATCTTTTGACATGTGTTTTACAATCCGCGGCCCTGGGTTTCTGACTCTTTTCTGGGGTTAGATTTTCGTTCCGACGACGACGACGCCGCCTCCCGAAGGCCGAAACCGAGGAAGCACGCCAGGACTTCAAAATCGCATCGTCGGAAATCTGGGGTGCGCACCGCCCAAATCTACCAGCAACCCCGATCCTCGAACCTGGATCGTCTCTCCCAGCCACCCGTGGTCCGGTCCGATGCGCCACAGCTCGCATGCATTGTGACCAATATGATTCGCCAATCCCCCTTTCGAGTGAGACCTTGATTCCCAAACCTTCATGGTGCGTGGCCCATCTCAGCCGGAAAGCGGCCGAAAGAATTGGTGACCGACCGCGCGCCCAACAATGTGACAGAACGCATAGGGTTATCGAAATTGTCACCACGAATTTCGGCGGTCACACACTGGCGCGTTCGGAAAAAATCGGGCGCTGGCTTCGGTCATACACGGGAGGATATTCGGGCACAGTGTCGGTCTATACCCCCATCCCCTGATGGAGACGAGGCCTCCCAGATGGGGTCGGAGTAGATGGGGTCGGAGGATCGCGCCGCATCGCAGATGCAGTGGCGATCCGGCTCGATGTGGAGCTCGATTTTCTCCACGCCGACGTCGCCGATGCATCGCCGACGTCGCTGATGCATCGCTGATGCATTCATCGCCGATGCATCGCCGATACCCCGGCGATGCGGCACGATCCTGCGACCCCATCTGGGAGGCCTCTTTAGAGACGAGGCTGCGTGAGAACCCCGATCGTCCCTGCCTGCCGCTAGAGGTCGGTCGTCCTCCAGCACATCAGGATGGCCGCGGGCCGATGCCGGCCGGGCGACTGGTTCGTGTGGTTCTGGGCCGGGCACGGCGTCACGGTGCGGCCCCGCGGCGGGGGCGACGCGAGGCAGCAGGCCGCCGCGGGGGGGAGGTCGTGGGCGACGTTGGGGTTCCGAGCTTCGAGGTTCTAGCTTCGAGGTTCGAGGCTTTCTAACGCTGTCGTAGTGGATCCGTGGTTTTCCAGCGTCATATGCTATCCAGCGGCTGCGCCTCGACGAGAGCGTTCCATGGGTGCCCGGATCGTCCCGAACGGCCGCCAGAGAGCAGAGTTATAACCCGAAGTCCAGGGGGAATAGTCTCAGGGCTCAGGGGTGGGCGCATTGACCCTCAATCTCCCGTTGATCGCCGATGGGGGCCCGATAGCCCGCCCAGACCCGATAAACATAGCCTTTCGGAGGTTCGTACGGATTTAGATCTGCGTTGGGCCAGCGCCGATCCGAGAGCGCGGCCATGCGAACGTTTCTGTTTATGGTGTTTCTCTTGCTTCTTAATTCCTGACGTGTTTCCTGCATTTGGGCCTCTGCGGCCCCGTTTTCGGAGCCCTGGGCCATCAAAATTGAGCTCGAGACGAGAAACTACCACCCCTGGGGACGGGTCGGGACCCCCGTGGGGGCCGCTCAATGAAAAATAACGTCGGATGTCTGGGGGTGGCACACCAGCCCTGACATCCTCGTGCCGTGAAAGAAACGACGGAAGGAGTTTGGTAATTTTCGATCTCCGGGGACCCCTGTGTTGGGCGCGCAGGCCGTCAGAAACAACGTAGGGCGAAAATTGGCTCCTGACAGAGGTCCAGACTTCTATCCGATTGCTCCGAATCGACAAGGATTTTCGCTGGCCTGGTCGGATTTGACTCCGATTTTTGACCGATCCGATGCGGTCCGATGCTTGCGGGCGCTGCCGATCCGACGCTCGTTCCTTTTCGATCGGATTTCACGATTCGATGTTGATTGATATTACAAGTCGCGTCACAATGAACGTGACAACTTAGTAGGCCCGACTCGAGGGATTACTCCGCTCCGGTCACCACATACGTCTTACCCCTCAACCTCCGCCCAATCCCCCTCCGCTTCCCCCCTGCTTATCCTCCTCCTCCTCCTCCTCCTCCAGCCTCCATCCGTACACCCTCCTGCCATGCAACCACCTTCCATCCGCCTCCAGCCTTCATCCATCCACCCTCCATCCGCCCATCCAGCTGCCGCAGGCCGCCTTCCTTTGCCTGCCCTTTCCCGCCTCTTTGCCCTCGTCCTCCTCCTCCTCCCCCTCCTCTGGCAGCAAGGCGTCTTCGCCTTGCCCTCGCCCGACCGCGAAGGCGGCCAGGCGCGGCCAGCTGCGGTTTTTGTTCGTTCCCCTTCGGCTTGGGTCAGGGGCTGCGGCTCGCAGGCTGGAGGGTGTTTAAGCACGCCAGACGCGGGCGGGGTTTGGCCGTATGGTACTGTACTGGGAGTGGGAGTCATCATTGGATGAGCCACCCCCCAGGACAGAGCCCTAGAACGCCCACCCATGCAGTATCCCTTCAGCCGCCCTCCACGCGTCTGACATCCACCCCCTTATCTGTCCTCCTATCCGCCTTCCTTCTTCCATCCAGCCTTATTCCAACCAGAGTCCATCCATCCAAGTCAACGCACTCCTCCCCGCACCACTTGCCTGCTGCCACCGCCTCCATTCGCCGCTGCCGCAGTGTACTGTGCCTTTGCGCAACTGCATCGGCTTAGAAGAGCAGACAAGGAACGTGCCCGCTTCCGCGCGCGTCGGCCGGCAGGCCGGCCTCCTCCTTCCAGGGTTTTTCTACAGTCAGCTTAACGGAACACCCCTTCCTCGCCATGGCTTTGGCGGGGCCCCCTGATCATGAGACAGCATCGGAACATAATGCAGGGACTATCTATGTCCAGGCAAAAAGCTAGTTATCAGCCGAAACGGCGGCTCAGCAGCTGGTTTCGTTGAGCATGGGATCGCAGGAAAGAGCGTTCGGAAAAGTAGAGCGACAATACCGTCCCGAGCGCATTGCTAAAGAAGGCGCCTCTTGGGGGCGACCTCTTTCTTTCAATTTTCCCAGAAGGCAAGCATTATAATATGTGTTTGATATGACATAGGGGGATTCCTCTGTGGATAACCCTATGAAGACTAGAGTTCTGAAGTCAGGCGGAGGGCATGGCTCAGCCAGTGCTTCCGCCAGAAGGCCATCTGAAGTCGCATCAGTGCACTCAAGCCCGGGAACATCAGTCAACTCGAACCGTGGATAGGAAATATCGCCAGGAAATGTTCCCATCGGCATGGAAGGTGGAGAACATCGCGACGAGGAACAAGTCGCACAGCTTGTGATGAATGGGCAGGGCGAAGACGAGAGCGATGGGCAGTCAGTGGAACAGAATTCGCATTTTGATTGAAAAGAACAAAGAATATACCCAATTCCATGCGTCGCCTGGCCCGTCACATCATCCGACTCCTCTCCGGGACGGATCTAACGGGCTCGCCTCAGGCGTGGACCTGTCGGATACAGAGACAATTGCTTACGCGCGGGCTGAGGACCTCCGGAAGGCACTTGATTCGGATGACCACCATGAGGAAGAAAGAAGCCCCGATAACGGGAGAGTTGGAAATGGAAGGGAGAATTCGTCGGCTCAGCCCATAGAATACTCGCCCGACGCCGCGCGCCCAGCTCGGCGCGCGAGAGAACCGACCGGCGCGACCCCACTCCCGAAGACAAAGAAAACCGTGAACGATACTGATGATCTTAATCCTCCACCGTGGTCGTAGGTGTTCTATCGACTGCATTTCGCGCTACCAAGGGCCGATCGCGGCAGTGAACCCGAGCTCGGCGAGCTCATTATGCAAGACGAATGGGGCGAACAAGTGCAGGGGCAACACGACGCTCCTAGGAGCAAGGGGTCAAGAACTAGGGGGCGACATGCACCGACATCCAGCAGGGGTCGTGAGAAGGCCCCAACGGCCGGACGCTCCAGCTCCCGAGGATTTGACGCCCTCGAGTCGCCACGTCCACTGTCGAATAGGACCGCCAGCAGTAATTTAAGTCGAGCCAGCCGCTGGAACGCGGGCCCCAGATGCCCGCCTCAGGCGGAGAATCGTTGCCCGGGGAAAGCACGCATGTGCGCAGCGTTCGAAGGTGTGTCCGAAATCTAGTTTGTCGTGGCTCTGCGAAGAATGCATTGCGTCGGGGGGCATAATTGCCGTCGCATCGCCGCCCAGGCGCGGGGGGGCAACGTAGTCAGGATAGGGGGCAGCTGAGAGCAGCAAGTCCACACATGCAACAGATTCCTCCCCCAGCATACGCGGGTGAGATGGCCGCCGAAGAAGCCAGCCGCAAGCTCGCTGCATGCGAGGCAGAAAAGAGGGCTATGGCAGGTAGAGCTGAAAAGGAAAAGGCTGCCGTTGCAGAAGGCGCGCAGATGCGGGCGCTGCAAGCGGAGGCGAAACTAGCAGGAATTGCGGACGTGGCCCAGCGGCGCCTCGCCCAGGAAGAAGAAGTAAAGCGAAGGATTCAGAGTGCGGCCGGACGAATGTTATCCTCGTCTCAACTGCAGGCCGATAAAGAGCGAATCGAATTTCAAATGATTGCTGATGCCGCCAGACGGGAAGAGAGAGAGAGAGAGAGAGAGAGAGAGAGAGAGAGAGAGAAGGAGAGAGAGAGAGAGAGAGAGAGAGAGAGGAGAGAGAGAGAGAGAGAGAGAGAGAGAGAGAGAGAGAGAGAGAGAGAGAGAGAGAGAGAGAGAGAGACCCGAGAGCAGGCCGCACGAGAAAACCAGGAGCTCTGAATACACCGCGACGCTGCCAGGCTCGAGGCCGAAAAGGTGAAGCTAGAAGCGGCGCGAACACTCCAGGGGCAGGGCCAGAGGGCCCAGGCGCCGAGGCATGACGATCAAAGAAGGATGGCCGAGGCCTCGGACCATGCGACGCGGTGCGCAGATGAGCAGATCAAGAACGATGCGCTCGCCATTCGCGCCGCGGGCGAAGAGCACTGACGGCTAAAATCTGACTTGGAGCAACGCAGGACTGCGAGGAAGCTCCTAGAGAAGATCCAGAAAGCTAGGCAACCTGGCGCAGCAGCTGCGTCAGAGATCAAGCTTGCGCTCGCGGCTATGCCGGGGTGCGATGGATCTCGGAAGAGTGCTAACTCAACGCTGGCCCAGCCGACGTATGTGGAGCCCCCTTCCGAGTCCGACTGTTGCTCGCCCGGTTTGTGCGAGGGTGGCCATGGGTGCGCCAGATGAGCCATGTCACAGATGTTCAAAGCTTTTCACCGGGATATGCGCGGGGCGTGCGAAACCCGCGCGCAGGGGGCACTTGGGCGGAGGCGCCGAGAGGTGCACGGCGTGCGCCAGGGGCAGAGAGTTCAGGGAACATGACGACCCCGTGATAAAGGCAGAACGCTGAGCATATCTGCAGACATCCACCGCGACAAAAGCAAGGCGCACGAGACGGCGCCGAGACACCCAGATGGATCGGGAGAGATCATCGAGAGGCGCCAGCTGCAATTGCAAGAGCTAGAACAAGGCAGAACTGGCAGCCATCAAACGAGATATCGCCGCTGCCAGAGCAGACCAAGACATGTCACGAAAGACAGAGGAACTTACAGTACAAAAAGACGCTGGATTGGGAACGGCAGGCAAACACTTTCGCCGCGATTATGGGTGCACCATCGTTCAATCCAACGGAGTCATATCATGATCGCATGCCTCCGTTAACGGCGCAACATGCACCCGGCCCTCCTCTCTCGGATTCACGATTAATCCCAGGGCTGGCCGCCGAGAAATCCTTTGACCCGAACGAAGTTTCGATCCTGGAAAATACTCAAGGATCGAACCGTGGGAGCGCCCCTTCTACCACCTACTTTTCAGGGCCCCCCGACAACTGCGATTAACCTGGCCGCCTTCCCTTCGCCGACGGCTCAGCCGTATCTGGTGGAGGCGGGGGCGGACGGGGAGGCAATGATCATGGCCGGGGGGGTGGCCAGAGCGCAGCGCCGAGCACTGGGGTGGCTGCGGCGACGCAGTTCGATGAGACGGGGAAGCCGAAGCCGCCGGGCGACCCTCCGGGGGGGCCTGGTGAGAGAGGGGGC